CTCCCCCCCTTTGTACACAGTGTTAAAATTTTAAAGCTTATTCTTGAGCCAATACAAATTCTTTCCTGGGATCACTTAAAATAAATACTTCTAAACATGTAAATATGCATCAGTACACGTTATACATAGGCATAATAGAACACATAAGCCTAAGCGTGATTTAAAAACATCTTAAATCCATAAATCTCAGGCCAGGTCTTTTAAGATAGAAATGCGATACTGTGGTTCAATTTCATTTTATCCTTTTGTAAGTTTCTTTAAATGTTTGTTTAATAATACTACTACTAATAGTAATAGTAATAATAATAATAATAATAATAATAATAATAATAATAACAATGATGATGATGACGATAGTAATAATTGATATTAATATTAATAACAATACAAAGTGAAGAAAATTGTGCTAAATGCGAAAAAAATTTGTGATTTGTTGATCATAATATAGTATATATAGTTAAAGCTTAGTAAGCTATAATGAGGCCTAAGTTGTCCTGGATATTAAGTACGGTAGATACCTGATAAAAGATCATGAGAAATTTGTTGGCGTTTCATTTTGACTATAATGGTAATGTGATGATGATGAATTTTACTATATAAAAGTGTCATTTCCGGCCATTTCGAGAGGTACTATTTCCTCAAATTTTCTCACCTCAGCCCCACCATGGCTGGGTTGTTAAATCACGTTTTTGAAGTAGGCCTATGTAAAGTACATACTCAAAGACAATGTTTTTAAGCTTTGTATACACACACAATAATAAGATCTCTATGGTTGTCAAAAATTCCTGATAAAGATCATGAGAATTTCTTTTGGCGCTTATTTTTGACTAATGGTGATGTGATGATGATGAATTTTACTAAAAGGGTCATTTCTGGCCATCTAGAGGTACTACTTCCTCAAATCTTCTCACCTCAGCTTCAACCATTGTGGGGCTGGGGTGGGTGTCGACTTACAAAATGTCCTCCCCTCCACCTTTCAAAACAGATCTGTGCCCTTCCCTGGGTATGACATTAAACTCCATCGAGTCGGCTCCTGGTGTATGTCTTAGTGACTGCTGTTTGTTTTTAGGATGTGATCTGGTTTTTCATGTCCATTTTTCGTGATTATGACTATTCTGGATAATGAATGTTTTGAGCAGAGGTGGATTCAAGGCACTCCCCCTCCCCCTTCATATATTCAAATTGAAGTGCGAGAGTGTAATTTCCGGCCATCTAGAGATGCCCTAATCATAAATTTTCTTACCTCAGCCCCAACCATGGTGGGGCTGAGGTGGGTGGTTCCTCGGTCTGTGGAAGTCCCTCCCTGGTTCACCTCTCTTTCCAATTCCTGGATCTGCAACTGTTGATTTATTATATAATTATTTTTTCGCTTATCTATAATGCGTCTATTGCAATTTTCACTTTATCCTCTCAAACAGTCCTAAGAGCGTTCAGAGTGCGCTACTTCACAGGGGGATTCACCCCCTTGACCTCGCCGGGGTCATACGTAATTCGCATAACGGCTCCCCCCCTTTCAAAATCCTGGCTACGTCCCTGTGTGGTAGCCTGTATATAAAAGCTGATATAGTGTTTTGATCACATCATTGGACATGATTACGGTACATTAAAGACTATAGAAGCTTTCGTGTGATCGTGTTATGTTGCAGGGTTGCTGACTTTTAAAGGGGTCGCATGGAAATTTTATGATAGGTCGCATGGAAATTTTATGATGGGTCTCATCTGATAGGATTTTTTTTTTTTTTTTATATACTTATTTAGAATATGTAGAAATAGAAACTATAATGAATAAAAGAAAAATGATTGTGGTGTATTTAGTCAAGCAAAATTTAAATTATATATATATATATATATATATCTGTCTCTTACATCTAGATGTGTATAAGAGACAGTATATATATAGGCCTATATATTTGAAGATTTCAAGGGAGCGGATTGCTTTCTAAGAACGTTATAATAACGTTGTAGTTTGGTGATAAAAACGTTATTTTGTAGAACCATGATATGTACCTACTTAAGTTATAACCTAATTTCACAACATCACAACGTTTGAAAGTTTTTACGACCTTGTATATGAAAGTTATTTTGTGACATACCTAGCCACAACGTTCGGGAACGTTGTAAGAACGTTTGCTGAGAGGCGTAATAAAAATAAATATATAAAATTTTATTATTATGAAATTTCCATTTTTTGTGACGGAGGTGTGTTAACTGGCCAAAAATAAAAGTATACTTTTATTAAAAATCAGCATTTTTGGCTGTAGGAGAGTTCGCTTATTAAGGTATTGAAAAGTTTCGCATAATGTGTCTTAATTATTGATTATTATCTTATATTAACATCGAACCATATAAAAAAAATCGTCAACACTTTCAGAAACATCCTAGAGTAGTGGCTGTGACAGTGGAGACACAGGACGTACACGACCTATCAATAGACACTTGTTGAGGAGGCATCCAAACCGGACTTCCCCCCTACCCTGTCGCAATTATTTTTATGATATTTTTTTGTTATTTTCTTGGAACAATACATTCTTTCTCATACGGCAATACGTACGTGGGCGGCAATCACAACACTCGACCACCATAGAGTCACTCTCAGACAGGCTTATCTTCATTTGACTTCTACGAGTGGATACCTTGGAAGTAAGAAATCAAGTTGGCTTTACCCAGTACCGTTCGTGTATATTCATCGGCGGGAAATTTTCCTTACAGATTGAATTTGAATAAATGTGTACCTTGATTTAATGGATATACTGGATAATAATGATAATAATAATAATAATAAATAATAATAATAATAATAATAATAATAATAATAATAATAATAATAATAATAATAGTAATAATAATAATATTATTAATAGGTAAACACTTTTTATTCAATTCAATTCAACGTAACATTTATTTACCCGATCCTTTTTTCAGCTACAGCTTTTAAATAAAAAAGGTATATATTAATTTCAGATACACATCAATTTCAAATTAAGCAAGTTTGAAAATGAATTAATCATAATATATATATGGTCACTCAGTGCGGCCCAGAATTATATTAATCTTTTATTCATAAATATTAAGACCCTTGAAAAATAAAATATCGAAAAAGAATTCATGATGTGTTGTAACGAAGATTATTAGATTATTAAATAACTTCAGTTAGCTTCAAGTGTAGTACATTTCGAATTTTGCTCAGACCATCTTCAGCAGAATGACATTGGCAAGTAGCCAATGTCTACGTCACCGATGATGTAATGGTGACGGGTGCGCTCCGCAATGTGTGGAGCGCACCCGAGAATGCGGATTGAAAGCTACTGGTGAGAAACAATTATAACAAGCATTAACACAAATGAAATTCGAAATAAGATTATTAGATTGTTTACTCTTTGTACTGGGATTTGACAGGCCCCCGACTTCTTTTCTCTAGCAAAGTGTTAATACCATCTAACAGTGTCATTTTCTTCGGTCAGTTATAATTGAAACATCCAAAATCCGGCGATATACTGTAAAACAAAAGCAAAATACAAGGCAGTGATTGGTTCATAGCCGTAAAGCGTAATCAGTGAGTGATGGCGTGGGAACCAGAAACACTAGGGTGACCTGAAAATATTTAGTTATCAGTTCTCCTGTACATCGGTCTTAGGTTCACACGATTTCAAAATTTGCGATAATCATTTCATTTTCTCTCAAACGAGTATAGTCTCCTGTAAAACCCTGGTGTTTCCAAAATATCCCGTCGACCCTTTTTAGACAGGTTCTATATCCCAAAAACTAAAAGTTTAGTTAATAGGCTAACATTAACATACAGTAAGCTTGACTCTTAAGGTTGTAAAATGTATAACAACAGGCCTTTTTACAGAGATCTCAGGGACAGCACACGAAAGTGGTAATATTGTACAGGTCATTAAAATGATAAATAAATACAAACATTATCAAAAAACTTCCAAAAAACAGTAGATGATTTACTACCTAATGAAACAGAATCCACCTCTAACTATTTTGCAACTCATTATCAATGTTTGCTGTTGAATACAAGTTCCATGTGTCATAATCGTTAGAAAGCATAAGTTTGTTTAAACCATAGAGAAAATGTTTAAACACAAACGACGTATGAGCCATTCACAATAACCGTACACTGTAAAAAAAACTGTAATTTTACATAAAATTTTTTACAGATTTGATCTGTGTTTTATTTTGGCAACACTTTTGCTGTAAAAAATTACATATCTGCTGTTATTTTACATTTTTCTGTAATTGTACTTAATTTACATAATTTTTTGTTAATTTACAGCACAAAGAAACACATTCTGTTGAAAACCTGTAGAAATACAGAGTAAGAACTTTTTTTCCTGTAAAAATACATCCCATTTCTGTTTATTATGCATATTTACATATTTATTGAATTAAACGGCATATTTGTTGGAAATTTACATTTTCCTGTATTTTTACAGGAAATATGTCAACATATTTCTGTATTTTTACAGTTAAATCGTCAAATTTTCTTTTCATTTTAAAGGCAACCTGCTGTTTTTTCCCCGTATTTACAGCATTTGGTGTAAATTTACAGCATAAAAGAAACACATTTTACAACATAGGCCTAATGTTGTACTTTTACATTTATAACTTTAGTGAAAAATATCTTTAAAAAACTGTAATTTTACATAGACAATTTACAGAATGAGTTTTTTGTTTTAATATTTTTGTTATTTCTTAGGGTTTTATGTAAAAAATGATAATAGGCTAATAAAAATAATAATAATATTAATAACAATAACAATAAAAACAATAACAATAATTACAGTAGTAACAACAACAACAACAACAATAAAATAACAATAACAATCTATTTGTCATTATAAATTATTTATTAAATCGATATAATAAAGTTGTATTAATTTCGTGGGGAATTCATGAATGTCGTCACGCGTAGACCGCATAATCATGTGACGTAGACCGGATCTTCTGGAATTTTGGCGCGCACAGAGATAATGAGACTACGACGTACAGAGGGTTGATGTTAATGCTTGTGGGTGGACTGTTTCTGTAAAGATGATGTGGTATAATTGTCACTTACATTAAAATTACGAAAATAAAAAAGAAATCATCATCTATCTATCCGGATCTGAGTTGTGTAAGGTTGGTGAATGTGGTACCGATTGCGTATTAATTCTAATTACTGTAATTTGCATTGTAAATTATGTCTAAATAAATCTAGGCTGGCTAGATCATCTATCTATCCGGATCTGAGTTGTGTAAGGTTGGTGAATGTGGTACCGATTGCGTATTAATTCTAATTACTGTAATTTGCATTGTAAATTATGTCTAAATAAATCTAGGCTGGCTAGATTATAGTAGGCTTGGCCTATCTCGTCTTAGCCTATGCCTAACGCTGTCTAAATCTGTCTTGGTGGTAGATAGAAGTAGAGGTTTAGTGGCAACGTAATGAGACATTAAACCTGCGTACGTCTACTACTAGGGCCGCCTGGAGTACTACCTACTCACTACTCTAGGCTAGGCAGGCCTAAGTCGTAGGCTATCCAGTAGCTACGTTTATATAAGAGACAGCATGCTACGTTTATGTAGCTGATTGTAACGTCTCATCATTCATATTATAGCCATTCGGGTCGTAATACTGTATAGCCTGGGGAGAGGGCTACCGATCTTGTGATGGCCTAGCCTAGCTGGCTACAGGCATACCTTCTCAGCTCCTTGGTTTGTTTGATAAAATAACCATAATAAACAATAAATAATATAGCTTAAATACTGTAGGCTAGTTCTAGAATAACAATATTATTAAGTGTATTTTAATGACTAAGATGCACTTTGTTGCTTAATAAGCCAGATCTAGCCTATCTATGGATTTTGGGAAATTGGTAAATAATTAACAGAATATTATTTGGAACAAATAATTGCATTGTAATTGTTTTCAAACCCTATGCATGATAATTTGTTTTCTCAACCCATCAATTTGCCTTTTCATTTACAATTTTATCTTAGGTACTAGTGTAGTTTCAAACTTGCAGCCAGCCTTTATTTTGTGATTTTTGGAAGAGTATTTAGCAGGCCTATGCTGAACTTACATTCTTTATTGCAATGTTTACCTGCCCACTTTGTGACTATTCAACTTACTCAATCAAGACCTATTCTAAGCATTATAAAGTACATAGAAATGTACATAATTTCCATTTTCCATGTGGTGTTCCAAACTGTTTACAAACATTTTCTACCTACTCAGCATTCAACAGTCATGTTAGTTGAAAACATCACCAGTACCGAGTGGAGCATTCTCCTCAGGTTAGGCCTATATCTTCAGATATACAGTAGGCCTACCTGTAAAATGTCAAGTTGGTGTTTGTGAGCAGTACTGCAGTGATATGTCTTCATTAATCAAACATATGAAAAACCACATTGATTCTGGCATTCAAATAAATTGCCCTTATCATTCATGCACAAAATCATTTAAAAATAAATCATATCTTTCAAATCTCATATGTCACGATACCATAGGAATCACTCACTAAAAATTATTCCAGAGTACCAGGTTGGGCCAAATGAAATCAGAAATGACATGATGTCAGGAGAAGAGGAAACACACACACATGATGGCATTTATGCTATTGCTGTTGACTCAGAGTTTTCAGATATCAATAATAGTAGCCAACATGACTCGGACATCATTATGTCAGAGGAAGATTTTACACGTAACTTAGCACTTTTCTGCTTAAAACTGCAGGCAGAACATTTGATTCCAGAAAGTACTGTTCAATGTATAGTTGAGGAACTTGGAAATATACAAACAATAGCTAGTGAAGCTTACATGTTTAAACTTAGAAACATATTGCAAGATGAAGGTCTACAGGAAAACAGTATTCTTAATATAACCAATCACATGGAATGTACAAGTGAATGGAATGCTGCATTGAAAAAAGGTTCTGGATCTTTAAGGTCTGTTTACATGAGAAAAAAGTATTATCAGTCCCAAATGATTTATGTAATGCCTGAATCTGTATGCTTAGAAAGAAATCATCTTCAAGGAGCTGTTTGCTTTCACTATGTACCTCTTAAAGAAACACTGGTCATGCTTTTGAGAGATAAATCTGTTCAGGCCCATATTAAAGACTTGCATGAATATACTAATACTGGTATTTTGTCAGACTTCACTGATGGAAGTGCATTCAGGAATAATGAATTTTTTCAAGTGCACAGGAAGTCATTACAACTCATACTATTCCAAGATGCATTTGAAATTGTAAATCCTCTGGGCTTTAGCAAGAAGAAGTATAAGATGTTGGGAGTTTACATGTCTCTCGGAAATATCCCACCACAATTTCGGTCCTCCATTAATAACATTCAACTTGTTCTCTTATGTAGAGAAAAAGACTTTAAAAAATTTGGGCAGGACAAGATTTTTGGAAGGTTGATTAAAGACTTGAAAGACTTAGAACAAGTTGGAATAGAGACACCTATTGGTCTGCTTAAAGGTTGTGTTGTTTCAATTACAGGTGATAATTTAGGGTCACATTGCATAGGAGGCTTCACAGAAAACTTCAGCACTACACCATATTTTTGTCGGTATTGCGATATTACTCATCATGAATTTAATACAGGTAATGCATTTGCTTCTGGTGAGGAGCGTAGTCGAGAGAGCTACAACAATGCAATCAGATATCTTGAAGAGAACCCTGGTGTTGATTTATACACAGGAATTAAGTTTGATTCTGTGTTCAATTCATTACATTATTTTCATGTATGCCCATATGGTCTTCCCCCATGTTTGGGACATGATTTGTTTGAGGGTGTAGTCAACTTTGACTTGGCTCTGTACTTGAACTATTTCATCAAAACCAAACACTGGTTCACTTACAACATTTTGAACAGAAGGATACAGAAATTCAAATAAAATTCTACAGATTTAAGAAATAAGCCTGCTGAAGTTAATATAAAAGGCAAAGTGCTTGGTGGTCATGCAGTACAGAATTGGTGCTTACTGCGACTGTTGCCATTTTTTATAGGTGATAAAATACAAGACACAGATGATCGGTGTTGGCAGATATGCTTGCTGCTGAGGGATATTGTTGAATATGTCTGTGCTCCTTCTATTTCCAGAGAGCAAATCTGTTATCTAAAGGTAATTGTGGATGAGTACCTTGAGTGTAGAAAAAGTGTCTTCCCAGAACAAAAGCTTAAACCGAAGCATCACTTTATGTCCCATTATGCAACGTTGATATTGAAGTTTGGACCTCTGATCAGGCTGCGGACAATGCGTTTTGAAAGTAAGCATCAGTATTTCAAAAGGTGTGCGTACAACTGTCATAACTTCAAAAATGTCACGAAGACACTGTCCGAACGACACCAGCTCTTTCAGGTGCACTTCAGTGGTGGATCTGTATTGCCAGTTGAAATTGAAGTTAAGGGGGAAATATCCTTGTACCCTGGTGTGTATGCACAACAAATTTCAAGAGCAGTTCAAGACCTTGGACTAAATGCTGACAATTCAGTTGTTAGCCAAGAAATCAATCGGAATGGAACAGTCTATAAGAAAGGACTGTATGTACCAATTAGTGTCTCTGATGATAATGTTTACACATTTGGTTACATCATGATGATTGTTGTCAGGGAGTGCAAATTTGTCTATTTTGTTGTCAGGCACTATCAAACTGCATATTTGGCAGATATGGGCGTGTATAGTCTTTTAAATGAGCATGAGCTTGATTCATACATGGTTTCATGCATTGAAATTTCCGATCTGCTTGATTGGTTTCCTCTTTCAGCGTACTCTCTTAATGGTCAATTAGTGATCTCAATGAAGCACAAATTCTGCAAGAAGTAGCTTGCATGTATTGGAATGTGTCTCTTAATTTTTGTTATATATTCTGTTTTAGATTTTATGAATTTAATGCAAAGTGTTTAATTATCAAAACGCAAATGATGCAATATTTTTGACTTGCGTTATAAATTCAAAATGAACAAGTTAATATCCAATTTTATTTTTATGATAACATCCTCCTTGGTGGAGAACTAGTTAGTAAAAAATAAATATGCACTATGCCAATGTTCTGGTACCACATTCATCTATTCTTACCCATGTGAAATTTATGATAGTGAAAGACAAATTATTTTTTATTTTAATATTTGACCTATAGAAGCTTGAAATAAATATGAGTGATGGGGATACCATAGACTTGCAGATTCTTAAATAATACATCTTGGAAGTTTTGACACATGCATCAGATGATGTATTAGATGATATTCTCGAGAAACTTCTGGAACTAGGTGTAGAGAAACCTTCCGATTTTAAATATGTTGATGAGAATGATCTACAATGCCTTTGTCTAAAGAAGATACAAGTTCAGAAACTTTTGAAAAGCTACAAGGAAGGTAAGTTTATTAACATCTCCTTGCCAGCATTATAGTTTTTATATTTAAAGTGCAAAACATTTCCTTACTAATGTGTACATTGCTTGAATATAGAAAAATGTTTAATTCATGTCAGTTAAAGGAACCTTATGGTCCCTGTTCTTAACAGAGGGCCCACAGGCCACATTTGTATTTTACTTTCCTGAACACTATGATTGTTTTAAAAAAAAAATGTGGAAAATGTAATATCCTTATTTTATTTATATTTTTTGAAATTTAATAAAAAAAAAAAAAACCTCTGCAATAATAAAAAAAAAAAATTGTAGGCAGGTGTACCTGTTCCTAATAGGCAACATGCAGGCCAACTTAATTAGTCCACGAATTAAATGAAAAGTTCATTTGAATAAATAAATTAAAAAATGAACAATTATAATCTAAAGCATAAATGATCATTTTCAGACTTTAATGTTCTTTTAATAATATATTATTCATAATGAAGATAATTTCTTAGTCTTCCCAGGTTAAGGCATGAAATTTAGAAAATTTATATCATTTTAAGTATGAAAATGCAATTTCTGGGTATCTACTGTAGATGTCCAATACAGTTAAACTTGCCTAAGTCAACTGTGCCTAAGTCGAATAATTTTTAAGTCAATATTATTTTACATACCAAATTGTTGTTTTCCATTAATTAACAATCTGTGTGTCAAATTTTACCTAAGTCGAACACTATTTCAATGGCATTTTGGATTTGATTTGGGCAAGTTCAACTGTATTTTCCAAATTTGCACACACCTGAGCACCAACTAAGTTCAGGCTAAAGTGATTCTCAACTCTTTCTGCTGCTTAGTTTTAATTTACCCAGATCAGTAATTAAAGTTACTTAATAAAGTAATGTGACATTTCCGGGCATACAGGTAGAGATGCCAAATTTGAAATTTATTTCCCACCGAAGTAATGACCATGGTGGGGCTGAGGTGTTTTTTTTTTTTTTTTGCATTTGATTCACTTTGGTATTCAATCCTGAAAGTTAATTGCCTCCCACCCAAACAAAATAGGAAACAGGGCCTTATAGTGCAAACAAGCTTTCCTGTTACCTCACTTTTACCAGTGAGCATAGTCAAAAACAGATCACTGCAAAAATAATGCATGCAGTTCATGACAAACAGTACATTATATACCCTGAGTGATTGACTTAAACAATGGAGGATATTGAGACTGGAACAAAACAAAATTAAATGAAGTGGGGAAAAGTTATCTTCATATCTTTTAAAATAATTGATAAAACCCATGTTTGTATTCTTTATCTGAAGTCGTAAGTTTATTTTGGTGTCTAACTACATGTTCTTTTAGACCAAAGAATTTATTATGGTGTAAAAAATAAATTTTGGGGGTTTATGGGAGAAAACATACAGTATTACAGTACTGGTACAAATTGGAAGGTCTGGTGTGAAAGTACAGGTCTCATTATAAAGTATTTTCTTTGAACACCATGATTGGTTTTTTTAATGTTGAAAGTGTACCATCTTTATTTTATTTTTATTTTTTTTTAAATATAAAAAAGAAAACATTGCATTCAAAATAACAATTCTTGTTAGCAGGGAAGAGTGGTTAATTGAATAGTATAAATAAAATAAGACCAAATTACTATGCAATAGCAAAAATGTATTTTCAAAGGCTAGTCATTGTATTATGTTGTATGTCACCATGTAAATAAACACCAAAATTAAGTAAATTCTTTAAAAAATTTAAAAACCAGTTTTTAAAATTATTTAAATCAATGCGATGGTAATTTTCCCCCTCGCTATGTACCATCTCATTTTTATTATTTCCCAAAATATTTCCAGATTTGCGACTTTATTTTTGAAAATATATTAGTTTTATTCCCATATCATGCACAGAGAAACCAAGTGCCAAACTGATAATGAGTGGATCGTCTTCGACATCACCTTGCTCAAGTAGTATGACAGATTTGTCTCCTGACAGATTCAACTGGAGTTCGTCTTATACAATACCATGGGCAAAAATGCCACAAAGTCTTCAAGATAGTATAAAAAAAATGGAGAGACCTCTCCCGGCAGTAAGACGAGAAATGATTAGGGTTTTGGCTGATGATACAGTATTTCCAAAACATCGGGTAGACCCACGCATAGTCAACTTGCTGATGTTGCTTCAAAAATAGTATCGGAATACCCTAAAAGTTTCCAAGACAATTTGGATGATGCCATAGTTGGTACTGGCTATAATTCTATTTTAACACAACTATAACACAGATTTCAGAACATTAGCAGGACTGTCAAACCTACAAAGAGGCCCAACAGTCCAAACAGTCTTGATTCTAATAAGTCAAAAAAACGTAAGAGAGGAGCTTCTACTTCATCCTATGGCACAATTCCAAAGGAGTACCAACCTGAATTGCCAGAAGAAGAAGATGAGTCAACTCAGGATTTAAAGAAAGAAGCTTTGAAGGATATCTATTCAAGTAGAGTTTGGAATTTAGATGATTTAAAGGGTTATCTTGATGAAACATACCCAACAGTGAGGCTTCTGACACATCTAGATGTGTATAAGAGACAGGTCTTCAAGATAGTATAAAAAAAATGGAGAGACCTCTCCCGGCAGTAAGACGAGAAATGATTAGGGTTTTAGCTGATGATATTTCCAAAACATCAGGTAGACCCACGCGTAGTCAACTTGCTGATGTTGCTTCAAAAATAGTATCGGAATACCCTAAAAGTTTCCAAGACAATTTGGATGATGCCATAGTTGGTACTGGCTATAATTCTATTTTAACACAACTAGAACACAGATTTCAGAACATTAGCAGGACTGTCAAACCTACAAAGAGGCCCAACAGTCCAAACAGTCTTGATTCTAATAAGTCAAAAAAACGTAAGAGAGGAGCTTCTACTTCATCCTATGGCACAATTCCAAAGGAGTACCAACCTGAATTGCCAGAAGAAGAAGATGAGTCAACTCAGGATTTAAAGAAAGAAGCTCTGAAGGATATCTATTCAAGTAGAGTTTGGAATTTAGATGATTTAAAGGGTTATCTTGATGAAACATACCCAACAGTGAGGCTTCTGATAAATGAGGGCTCTCAGTCTATTACAACACTGAAGAAAGAGTGGCCATTTCTTTTTGAGAAAGTTGGAATGCTTCATCATTTTGAAAGACTAGTTGGAATTGAAGTGCAAGAAACACTTACAGCAGCCTTGGTTTCCAAACTTCCAAGAATAATGCAGTTCATGAATGCCAAACAGACTACCAGCAAACCACTCAGGAAAATCCTGAAAGAAATTGAGGCAGCCAAACGTGAAGACGATACCAATAACCCTGATATTATTGGCCTTTTGGTATTATTGGCAACATTTTTTGGGGAGGACACCAGAGTGTTCATCCATGTTGAAGAGGTATTCTTTTATGACTATATCTTGTACTGTATTTATTATTCACAAATGAACAAAAATTACTTAGCAATTAGATAAATTTCCACCCATCACATCGGTGCATTAACATGACTGCATGTTGGCTGATTATTCATTTTTTATTGATATGGGCAAGGCTGAACAATCAGCCAAACCTGTTAAGGTAAACTATGATATTATTGCTTAAGTAAACTTTTAAAATATTGCTACAGTACAGTACAAAGCAAAATGATTTTTTAATACGATAGTTATTTCTCCCTGTTGATTTACTTTTGCGGTGACTTGCCTACCTGTCTATTGATAGTGTAGCGTACAGTATGTTGTATCGTCCGATACATGTAGTTTTTAGTTATTTCATCCATAATATTTGCTTGGATATTGTGGGTTACTTTGTGTTTGTGTTTGGAAGGGTCTGAGAGTTTATAATCCCCTATTTTATATATTACATTTATATTTTATTATTTTATATTTTACATAGTATATTTATCAACATCCATCTGTAGTTCCATTTCTTTGTAGAGCAGTGAAATTAACTTTTGTACACCTGTACACTGACAAGCAAATGAGCTCATGTACTTTGAATATGGATCTAATTACATCATGTTTCATTTAGGAGACAAGCCTAGAAGCTGACATTGATAAGGATACTCTCCCAGTCACCCCTTGTATAATAGCGCTTTGTAAGTGATATAATTATTATATACAATGTTAAGTGTTTGCATTAAACCATGCAGTATCTCAACATTCACAAATAATTTTTTTTTTATTTGGCAGGAAAAGATATAGATATTCCCATCAACACAGTGATTCTTCTCAGGACCATCTACATTGTACTGCAAGCATTTAACATTGTTATTTCACCATGTAAACCTACATGCAATAATATACAAATAAAATAATTAAATATTACACACATAATTAGATTTGCATAAAACTATAAATTGATTGATTTATTTTATTTATTTATTTATTCATTTGGCATTGAGTTTGCATCACAATATTTAGGCATTTTGAGTAGCATTCTACTGTCATGCAGTAACATGCATTAGGAGCCTACTGTTTATTGATTTCTCAATACATTTACTCAAGCATGTTGCAAAATAAATATTGATGCACACTAAAACACATTATGTTTAACTTAAAATATTTGGTTAAATTTTTCAAATACCTTGACTGTTCAAAGTTAAACGACGGAACATATTTGGAAAATCATGCAAATCGTATTGTGTTATTAAGTACCCATTATACTTCAGGGTACTGTGGTTGTATTACCAGAAATTGTAGCTAGAAAGGTTTTTTCAGTCTTACATCTTAGTTTCTTCTTAATACCAGGTACATCAGCAGTGACATCTAAATGCTTCATGCTCGTCATCGACAGGGAGATAGTAAATTGTAATATTTCTTCACCATTGGAGGCACTGTGCATGCTGTTTGCATCATTTTTTGTGTTTAACATTGAGTATGCAAAGACGGCAGTGGCAACTTTAGAGTTTGTGCAATGGTAAGTATTGCATAATAATACAATTTGTGTTTTCAGGATCATATTGATCTTTTAACTCTAATGTAATGATGTAGTTACATGTGAAGAAAATGTTATCCTATTAAAGTTACTTTTGATTCCATGATGACAAATTTACAAAGTAGACCTAAACCATTTAGAACAAACATGAAAAATGATATCCCTTCAAAAAATGTATAAAACCATAAGTATGCTGAGCTTGTTAAAATTTAAGTGTACCTTGTTAAAGATAAAGCTTATGTAGTATTGGCAATCGGAAAGGGAAAAGGGGGAAAACTAAACATATTATTATTGGCCTATTACATAACCTGCTGGAATTTGTGTATAAACCACCTGCTAATTTAACCTTTTCTGATATCAGGCTTATTTTGGGTATTTTCTGAATATAATCCAGCACCTAATTTTTGGCTAATTGTAAAAGGCCCTGCGTGGGCTTATACTACTGTAGGTCAAAAAGGGTGCATGCATAAATGTTCATGCCTGCTTATAATTCGTCATTTCAGCTGCTTGGTTCGAATCAATCCAGCCAAAATGAAAACTTGGAGAGGTAGTGCCAAAGTTCTTTCTCTAATAAACAGTTTAAAGGACTTTGAATCTGACTGGAACTAGTGGAGTTTTTGATGCGGTGTATATCAACATTATGTGTTTCTTTTTATGATGGAGTATTGGTAATTCTGGGGCAAATACATGTCCTTGGGGTATTTGTTTTTCAAGAGCAGTGTTCATAAAGAAAATGGTGTTCTAAATGGCGTGTTTATTTCAAAATATATATGGTAAGCCATTTTGTTGGTCATTGGTTTAGAGTTTCATGAAGTATTAGATTTGAAAAAAAATTATTTCTTGAAAAGTGTGAATAGACGATGATATCATAAAAGACATACTGACAACCAACTTTTACTTCTGGTGCATAGAGATAACTGTCATGGACTGTCTTGTATACTTGATCTACCATATTTATGCAATTGCCTCATGTGAGTTTATCTTATTGCATAAACATGTGGAATATTCTTTTCAAGTGTTTTTTTCATCTGACATTTTAATTTATATGTGTTTATTCAGGTGAATCATTGACTTTATTGAGTTTGTAAGCTAAAAATCTTTTAACTCAATAAATAGATGTCATGCCCCAAAGCGGTTTTTTTTTTTTTTTTTTACGATGTGGAGTGTAATGACAATTGTTTTCTTCTAGATTGGGTATTTATTAATATAAATACTGTATGGCAAGCCATTTTGATGGCAAGGAATTGTTGGCCATTTGTTTAAGTGTTAACAGTTTACAAAGTGTTAAATTTGAAAAATTATTATTTGTTGCAAACTGAATAGATGACGATATTCAGACATTCCAATGCTTTGATTGAAACTAAAGCGTTTTTAAATACAGTAACTCAAATCTGGAAAAAATATTTTGAAGATTTATAAATTGGTTTAATCATTGTTGCCAGAATTATTTTTTTATATTGAAGTTCATTTAAATGTTACATGTAGTTGCCAGAATTACTATTTCATATGGCAAGCCATTTTGATGGAATTGTTAGCCATTTGTTTAAGATTCAACAGTTTATGAGGTGTTAAATTTGAAAAATGATTACAGTATTTGTTGCAAACTGAATAGATGACGATAACAGATATTCCAATGCATTGACTGAAACTAAAGTGAATTGTACTGTATTGATGAGAAAAAAGTTTAAAGAATGTGGCTGCATGTTTGGGTTACATTTGTGGATTTATTGTTGATTACAATAAATATATGAAAATGGCTGTAGAACGTCTCGGAAATTTATTTGTTTAGTAATTTGACACAAGCATCATATTCTATCATCAACACTTAATAGTAAAAATGTAAATTCATATTTGTTTAACCATGCTGTAAAAGGTGATGACAAAATACCTTTTATTTGACTTAATTTTACATAATAAATGTAAATTTTACATAAAGAATGTATGTAAATGAAAACAAAACATGTGATGTTATGTGAAAAAATAGAAAATTTCCTTGCTGTTAATTTACAGGAAGTGTTGTAATTTATCATAAATAGAATAAACCTAAAAAACGACATCTTAGTATTTTTAAGTCTACAGTATGTAAAATAAACAGAAAACACAACATATGATGTTATGTAAAAAAACAGAAAACGTCTGGCGATGCAGTTGCCAAAACTTTTGCTGTAAATTTACAGAGAATTTTTTTACAGTGTAATACTGTACAATACTTAACGGTTTAGGTAGGTAAATTTACACCAACTTATAGTGTAAATTTCGAGCTCTGACGTTAAAACACAATGGCGATTTTAACCTGTAGAAAAACGATATGATACCGGTAATTTAGGCTACAACAAATCAACAATCTATCGTATTCTTATTATACAAGGTACCGTTAAAATATTATTTTACTGTAGTTACGTTATTTTTACAGTAAATTGGATTTCAGTAAACGTAAAATAACAGACATTTTTTTACTGATAGTAGGATTATAACGGCGAACGTAAAATTACTGAAAAATGTTTAATTTTACCCGCGAAGATGAACCGTTATTTAACATCGCGAAGTGTGAGTTCACAGTCTCATCATTGTTATACAAAAATACCGTTAAAATTCATAGTACTTGTTAAAAACAATATTTTGTACTGTAAAATTACGCCAGTTTATAAATGAACATTACGAACTCCAACGTTAATTAACGTAAATGTTGATTTTGACCTGTTAAATTACGGAAAACAGTAATATGACGACGTAAAATTAACCAGCAAACACATTAAATTTACGAATTCATCGTATATTTACATAGCAATTGCTTTTCTTTATTACTACAATACTTAACGGTTAAGGTAGGTAAATTTATACCAATTTGTAGTTTAAATTTCGAGCTCTGACGTTAAAACACAATGGCGATTTTAACCTGTAGAAAAACGATATGATACCGGTAATTTAGGCTACAACAAATCAACAACATCGTATTTTTATTATACAAGATACCGTTAAAATACAATTTTACTGTAGTT